TGAAGCTGCGCTAGGAACGCACTCCGAAAAAATTTTTGGGTGCTACACAAATTTTTCGCGGGCTCGGGACCCCAGACTGTCGAAAAAAAAGGGTGTGGCTGAAGCCACGCAAGCAGTCATTTGCACATTTTTATAATGCACGTAGAGGGCCCCATCCCCTCGCTTCCCTTCCTCGGTACGCCACTGGCCTTTATGTACCCTCATCACCACCTTTTTATAATGCGAACTGTCCGTTTTCACAGAAGACCATTTTTAGCTCTACATTCCAACCAATCGGAAGAAACGCGAACTTGCACAAATTTATCTTCTCAGCAATGGTAATGTCGCACCAAGCGGTGTTGCAAGAGTTGTGAGATTCGATGGAAGCTCTAGTGGTTATGCTCTACCGCCCTGTTCAGCCGCCGTGGGAGGATTTCAGGTGCAACAAGGTTTCAGTGGTGGGGGTTACATGGGACCACAATCACCTTCGGTAAAATTCTCTTTTTCGCACAGTTTGAAAAATAAAGTAGTCTTTAGATGCCTAACGCACAACCGGTTGATTTATGCGCTAAATGCCCAGCTGCAGGTGGAGGCGGTGCAGGGCAACTCTTGGGTCTCATAACCGGACAACTTGACATGGTAAAGCTTTCTAGTCTGACACCAACGACTTGCATTCCAATTTTAGAGCAAACTCAATGACTTGTACCTCTCGATTCAACTACTAAATACTCAAGCAACCTCAAATGACTTCATAATTGATCTCAGTGGCGAATTTAGTCCAAACGCTCAAGGAAGTACGGTATTACCCAGTAGATCTGTAGTTTCGTTGGTCCCTTTTTATTACAGTGACACCATTCGGAGCTTTCCCCGTCGCATTCCCACCACAATATGACAATCATATGGTCGAAATCATTCTTTCTGATTATACGATCAACTCACTTTTATACTGGTTACATAGGTGAGTATTGTGAATTTACTATCGGCTAGTGAAGAAGGCTTGCGATAAGCGCTTTCCGTTTTTAGCCTCTTGTCACAAAGTTTTGCAGCTTCCTCCATAACCTTCCTCTTTTTGAAAGCAGCGCTCTTATTTTGGGCATCAGTTACATAGATTGCAATATAAGTCACAAGTATTTTCAAACCGTTTGAGTTTTTTACATAATAGAAAAAAAACAATCTTAAGAACCCTCAATACAAAAGAATTGGAATTGAAGGGCGAATTAAGAGCTGCCGCTTCTGAGAAGATGAACCACTCAAATGCGTCAAATATGGAGAGCTATCCGTCAATAACTAAGCAGCGAATCTTGAGGCGATGGAGACGAATGCGGAGACTTTGCAGAGAGGATAATTAGACATGCGGCTATGATAAAAAAAATCTATCTAATCTATTATATAACGAATCGTGACGCCAATTCAAAAATCTGCAAATAGCGGGAAACAGAGGACGGTCCCGAAGCGCAGGATGCAAATCTAAGACCTTCCATTGCTTCCACTAGTCATAGCAACAAACCTTGAGCTTATAAAGAGTCCCTTACATGCGGAACGGATATCAATTTTTAAAACATGTTGACTCCTCCAGACTAAATTCACCAAGATTTGCGGTAACCTTTGCAGCACGCATGGCAGAGTTTTACTTCACAATCTCCATAATATCAATGAATGGATGCGCCACGTTCAAGAAGACCAAAGTTATACGAGGACTTGCAGGACTCAGGGACCGTTCAGACCGCGCACAAAGGCGGACAAAGG